GTTGTTATTGCTAGTCTTATCCTAATTTCAATTTGGTCTGATGACGCTGTTACTTTTTTCCCTTTCAATCACTCAATTCACTACTTGTTGTCGACCAGTAAAGCTCCTCTAGTTCTCTTTCCCTCCTTCCTCCTATTAGATGGAGGCTATTTGTTAAAGTATTCTTATAATAATCATTGACGTCTTTTTTTAGCTCAATTGACTAGCTTTCAATGTATAGTCTTTGTATGTGCTGTAAATTGTATTTCACTTTTGTGTTGCTCCCTTCTTTAGCCCTCTGCCTAGATCATTTACTGCTTGTCTTGAGACCACCCTCGGGACAAAAAGACATGTTCCTCTTCCATCAGGCCTATACTCAACTCCCTTCCACCTCCATGTATAGTAATTTCTTAGGTTTTTCAGAAATATTTTCTTATTTTAGTTTCCCTGTCAATATAACTCTCGTGGCCTGCTCCTTGGCTTAAAGATTATTAGTTGCCTCCCTTATGAGAACATATACATAATTGGTTTTGTTTCACATAGGTCTAAGTACCGTCATCTTGTGCAATCAACATTATGGTCTGTGTACTCTTTACTTTTCTTCATTATATTTGTTTGTAGTGAGGAGAGCTTTCAAGGACATCTAACTATTCTTGAAACTCAAGCTCTGTTTAATTTATTTTATGTTTTTTAATTTGCTTGTATGGCCCTTCAGGTGGTTCATTGTTCCTTTTTGATCGGAAGGTTTTACGGTATTTCCGCAAAGATGGCCATAGTTGGAGAAAGAAAAAAGATGGAAAGACTGTGAAAGAGGCTCATGAGAGGCTCAAGGTAAAGTTGATGAGAATCTTATGATTGTGTAGAAGCCTATTAAATTTATATATCCTTGATTTCGATGTTGGTTTGGGATTGAGGCGTAATTGTTGTTGTACTCAATTTCAGTGTTTCCACGAGTGTGCTACCTTCAAAAAGGCAGAATGCTGTTATAGAATCCACTATTTTATAAATAGAATAAGCTTTATGTCCTAACCAGGTGACGTGGGGCGATAAGGATGCTTTATCTAAACTAGGCTAGAGAACTTGATTAACTTTGCTACTTTGATAGCATCTCTGAACGGCAGGTACCGACAACTGCTGTAACAAAGGAATACGGAAGCTAGTAGAAATATGCTTTATTAGTGCATTACAAAATAGAGGAAATATAAGTTACCATGGGCAGAATAGTGGTACAATACCACTTATTCTTTGGAGACCTTTGTTCTTGTATCAGGGTGCTGATCAGAAATTAATATTCTTGCAGGCTGGAAGCATTGATGTGTTACACTGCTACTATGCTCATGGAGAAGAGAATGAGAATTTCCAAAGACGCAGCTATTGGATGCTCGAAGAGTAAGTTAAAAGAGTATATTGTTGTTTTGAGTACTCAGATTTGCTATTATAGGTGTTTCGCTCCAACATTGGAGCTAAAAGTCAATTCAGACTGTTGATATTCGTGTCTTAAGAATTATGATCAAGTAGACATCTTTAGTGGACATTTACATGCTAATTGCATGTTAGGTTGGTTCAAGTTCACCTTGTTCATCTCCATAATGATAAGAGTGCTATTCTGGCACTGTAAAATTATTTGTTGTCATGCTTGATAAGTGTTACTTCTATATGATATTTGGCTTACCTTTTTGCTTCTGATATTCTTCATGATCAAGATAATTAGATGCTCTATAATGCTGAGGGGTCATTATTCCTTTAAAAGGTTGACGCAGGATCGACTAATCTATTAAAGGGTATCTTGTGCACTCTTTGCGTCTAAAACAAATAATCTTATTGTTGTTGAATAACATGTACTCCTTATTTAAAACTTTAAATCGTTAGAGAAGGACACACTTATTTATACATTATAGATCTTTCACAAGCTCCTTCATGTACAAATCCAAGTTTTTTTCTTATATCAAACACATGAAAATAATTTTTGTTAATGAGGGGGTGGTGATCAGAACTTTTTTGCTTGTTCTAATTCCATGTTGCTCGAACTCTCCAAAAATGTTGCCACACCAGTTCGGATTCTCCAAAAATGCACTACTTTTGGAGTATCCAAGACATTTTTGAAGAGCCCAAGCAACATAGCAATATTGCCTCTTTGGATAATAATACCCCTGTAAGTTAAAGGGACACCATATTGTTTTGAATCTTGAATAGCATGGACTAAGTTAAGATTTGAAGAGGTAAAGTTAAGATTGTCCAAATGAATCTGCAATTAAGTTTACTGTTGTGCGGTAAAGTCCCGGAGAGCACGCACACACACACTTCCACACATACTTCTTCTTTTCCTCTCATTGTTCTTTTTCTAATTGTGTATTTATGTTTCACTCCCTATGAAATGTTATTCCCCCTTGAGAATTCTTTGGAGTTCACAATACAATAAGTGTCTCACTGTTGGTTCTGTTAACCCAACATGCGTAAAAGTTTGTTTTGGTTGGCGCATCACTCACTTTAATTTCTAATCATCATTACCTTCTTCAAGACCAATTTCTAACCATTGCTCAGCATGCTAATTCTGTTTACTTTTCCAAACACTTATTCAGGGAAATGTCACATATTGTTCTTGTCCACTACCGGGAAGTAAAGGTATATGCTTGCCATCCTCTAATTCTTTCCTATATTGCTTCTTTTCTTTGACCTTTTTGTTTTTCCTTTAGTGTCAGTTGTAACTTGTAACAGTCAACTTACAGCTGAGAAGTGGTTATGTTTCCTTCCCCCAGTTTCTCAAGGCAGCATAGTATAGAAGAAATTCATATGATATGATTTACGGGCACAATTTTAAATGAAATAAAGAGTAGGTATAAAATTGCAGATTTGCATTGTAAGGAGGCCTAGTCATGTACAGGCAATTTGTATGGTAGGTTGGAGGACAACAGGCTCTCAGTTCACGATGCTAGTATGGTATCTTAACATCAAAGCTGTGTACTGCTTGTAATTTAAACGTGTTCAGAAGTTCTCTTTATTCAAGAATATTCATCCAACATTTTATCTTAAGAAAGTGAAACTGATTTCATTTTTTTGTAGTAAATATACCTGGCAGAGTACCTAGTAGTTCATGTTACAATTTTTTTCAAAAATAAAGTTTTTACAGAATGAATGTACTAAAGAATAATGCAAAAATAAGATCTAATTATTAAATTAGGACTTTTGAGAAGTTCTAATCGAGCCTACAATCTGACAAACTAAAATAGCTAATGTTTAAACTGAAAATTATAGAACTTAAGTGTGATCTATGCTTCTCCCTCCACATAATCTGGCTCATATCCTTGAAACTGATTTCATTATTAAAATAAATTTCCTCATTTTTGTTTATAGATTTGATTGCCATGGTGTTTTCCTTCTGTAGGGTAACAGGACAAATTTTAGCCGTATTAGAGAACCTCAACAAGTTACTCCTGATTTGCAAGAAACTGATGAAGATGTACACAGCTCTGAGGTGGACAGTTCCGCGTCTACAAAATTTTATCCAAATGATTACCAAGTGAACTCACAAGTCACTGACACAACTAGCCTCAGCAGTGCACAGGCCTCAGAATATGAGGATGCCGAATCAGGTATATTTTTAATCAATTTTTTCTGGGTCAGATTTTAAAATAAACTGCTCTGGTACATTGGAAGGCATTTTGGACTTGTAATGTATCAATTGAGATTTCCTTTTTATTTTTAGTTAAATATTTTTTAATTTTTGTTTGGGAACACAAACTCACCAGTGTACAATCAACATCCAACTTCTGGATTTCACTCATTCCTTGATGCTCAGTCAAGTGCTGGAGATGGACTTGCTGTACCTTATCATCCGATTCCCTTCTCAAGTAATTGATTCTTGTCCTTGTATTATCAGTTGTACTTAGCATTTTTCGCCTCTTTTAAAATGCTCTCCAAATGGTTCAGTGCTTCTGTCAACGTGACGTGACACATGTGAAAACCTTGTTTGTTTATTCAACAGATGATCAAGTACAGTTTGCAGGAAGTTCTGCTACAAGTTTCTCCTCAATCCCACCAGGAAATGGGAATAGAAACACAGCAAATACCTATATACCCAGTAGGAACCTTGACTTCCCATCATGGGGGACCATTTCAGTTAATAATCCCGCTGCATATCAGTCTCTCCATTTTCAGCCTTCTGGCCAATCAGGTGCAAATAATATGATGCATGAACAAGGAAACACTACAATGGGACAAATATTCTCAAATAACTTCACGAGGCAGGAACATGAGAACCACATTGATGGCCTGGGGAACTGGCAGGTAAGTAACACTAAAGGAGTTCATCTTGTGCATCATTATTTTGCAATGTCCATTTCATGCACATCACAGAGTTGTATACTTGAGGGAGAGGAGAAGAGGCTCAGTTTATTAGCCCCTGTGCATGTATTCCAAAGCTTTCCGTTCAATTTTCATGTAGTCTGTCGTCCATAAATACTGTTTTTCGAGACATGGTTAGTGGTATTTCACCAGATGCTGAGGAAATTTAAATACATGACTTAGAGCCTGTTTGGTGGCTTATTTTAAGTGCTTTTAAGCCAAAAAAAACTTTTAAGCACTTTTGGAGTGTTTGAGTAATTTATAAAAAATGCTTATAAGCACTTAGTTTAAGCTAACATGGTAAAAATAAGCCAAAAGCCATAAGTTACAAATTCTAACTTATGGCTTATAAGTCAAAAGTCAAAAGCCAAAAGCCAAAAGCCAACAAACAGGCTCTTAGTATAGGACTGAAAAGGCAGGCAGGAGGAATAGGAGCATTGTCCACTTATTATCTTTGCACCTTGTTTCTTTGACGGAATTCAGGGAAAAAGCCTTCTAGCAGTCATATAGAAGTCTAAGTGCCTGTTTGGCATAAATACTATCCCAGGATTTGTTAATACTTGTTTGGCCATGAAATTAGCAAATACAGACAGTGAGACGTTGAATTACAATTTTTTCTGTTAAAGCCCCTTCTTTTCTTCCCCATGACACCATACCTCTCCACCCCATGTCACAACCCCTTTTTCCCAAAAGAGAGCTCACTACCATAACTCCTGTTAGAATAGAAATAAGTATTTCCTACTTAGAATAGAAATAAGAATAGGAATAGGAATAGGAATAAGAATAGGAATCCTAGTTGGAAAAGGATTCCAATGTAGTGTCTATAAATAGGGTCTCAATGTAACTATTTAGATACACAATTCAATAATATTTTTCGTATATATTTCTCACATGGTATCAGAGCATTGGTGAGAACAAACAAGTCACCGTATGTCTATGTCAATTTCCGGTGACTGTTGGGTCTGATTTTGTTATACTTTTTTCTTTCTGTGGGTGTTGTGCGAAAACCAACACCACCACGAGGCTCGGAAAGCCCCCGCGACCAAACCCCAGCCAAAACCACCGGAAAACACCACCCCACGCGCTCTCACGCGCCTATCGGAGGTGGCAGTTTCCGGCGAGATCTGTCTCACGCGCCGGCGCGTGAGGGCTTTTCTGATCATATTTTTTTGAGATTTTTTTGACAGTTGGGGTCGTCCAGCCAATCTGACCAGGCCCATACTGTTTTTTGACCAGATCCGATCGCCGGAATTAGAGTTCCAGCTATTTCCAGGCAGTTTTCGGCGACTTTTCTTCGAGATTTGAATTTTCCGAGACAAATTTAGCATAATGTCTTTTGGGTGTGATGTTTTTGGTTCCAAAAATATGGGGATTGGAAGTTCTAGCCCTATAATCACTTCAGAACTTTTATTGGGAAGTTCAAACTATTTATCTTGGGCTTCCTCGGTTGAGTTGTGGTGCAAGGGTCAAGGTGTCCAAGATCACTTAACGAACAAGGCTTATGAGGTAGATGTAAAGGCAAAGACTAGCGAGGAAGATGCAAAAGCCAAAGCACAATGGGAGAAAGTAGATGCTCAATTATGTAGTCTCCTATGGCGTTCTATTGATTTCAAGTTGATGCCCTTGTTTCGCCCATTCCAGACGTGTTATACAGTTTGGGAAAAGGCTCGTGCTTTATACACTAATGACATATCTCGATTCTATGATGTGATATCTCGATTGACCAACTTAAAGAAACAAGAATCCGATATGTCTACTTACTTAGGACAGGTACAGGCAGTCATGGAGGAATTTGACACATTAATGCCAGTTACTACGAATGTGGAAAAACAACAAGAACACAGACAAACATTGTTTCTAGTTCTTACTCTTGCTGGACTTCCTCCTGATCATGATTCTGTACGTGATCAGATTTTAGCTAGCCCTACAGTTCCTACAATCGATGAATTATTCTCTCGTCTCCTTCGTCTTGCGGCACCTCCCAGTCACAAGGTAGTTTCATCACCCACTGTTGACTCATCTATTCTTGCATCTCAAACCTTTGAAAAGCGTACATATCAATCTATGGAGAATCGGCGAGGAGGAGGGCGTTTTGGGAAACCTCGATCCAAGTGTAGTCATTGTCATAAGCCTGGACACACTCGTGATATATGTTATATTTTGCATGGTCCACCACCCAGTTATGATCCTATTGTTCTAAAGGAATATAATGAGTTCCTTCGAAATCGCGCAAGTAAACAGACATCTCCACCAGTAGCATATGGTGCTCAACCTAATCAACCATCCAATAATGCTCATATTGCTCAGACAGAATATGATGAGTTCCTTCAGTATCGTGCAAATAAGCAAACGTCTCCACAAGTAGTTTCGGTTGCACAACCTGATGTCTCTGTTGCGGGTAATTCTTTTGCTTGTGTGTCGCAATCTAGTACTCTTGGAACATGGGTCATGGACTCTGGGGCTTCTGATCATATCTCTGGTAATAAATCACTTTTATCCGATATTGTTTATTCACAATCTCTTCCAGCTATTACTTTAGCCAATGGGATCCAAACCAAACCAAAAGGGGTTGGAAAAGCCAAACCCCTATCTTCTGTCACCCTAGACTCTGTTCTTTATGTCCCTGGTTCTCCTTTTAATCTAGCATCTGTTAGTCGTTTGACGAAAGCCCTACATTGTAGCATAACTTTTTTCGATGATTTTTTTTCTCATGCAGGACCGCAATACGGGACAGATGATTGGAACAGGACATGAATCACAAGGCCTTTACTATCTTACCTCTTCAAATTCCTTAGCAGCATGCTCCATTACAGATTCCCCAGATTTAATTCACAAACGTTTGGGACATCCGAGTCTATCCAAACTGCAAAAGATGGTGCCTAGTTTGTCTAGTTTATCCACATTAGATTGTGAGTCGTGTCAACTTGGGAAACACACTCGTGCTACGTTTTCTCGTAGTACTGAGGGTCGTTCAGAGTCTATTTTTTCATTAGTTCATTCTGATATTTGGGGTCCTAGTAGAGTCAGTTCCACCTTAGGATTTCGTTATTTTGTTAGTTTCATTGATGATTATTCAAAATGTACTTGGGTTTTCTTAATGAAAGATCGTTCTGAGTTATTTTCTATTTTCAAAAGTTTCTTTGCTGAAATACAAAATCAGTTTGGTGTTTCTATTCGTACTTTTCGTAGTGATAATGCCTTAGAATACTTATCCTCCCAATTTCGGGAGTTTATGACTCACCAAGGCATTATTCACCAGACTACTTGTCCATACACCCCTCAACAAAATGGTGTAGCTGAAAGAAAAAATCGGCATCTTATTGAGACCGCTCGTACTCTTCTCCTTGAATCCAATGTTCCATTGCGTTTTTGGGGAGATGCAGTTCTTACGTCTTGTTATTTGATAAATAGAATGCCCTCTTCTTCTATTCAGAATCAGGTTCCCCATTCCATACTGTTTCCTCAGTCACATCTCTATCCTATCCCTCCTTGTGTCTTTGGGAGCACATGCTTCGTTCATAACTTAGCCCCAGGAAAAGATAAATTAGCTCCTCGTGCCCTCAAATGTGTCTTTCTTGGTTACTCTCGAGTCCAAAAAGGGTATCGTTGTTATTCACATGATCTTCATCGATACCTTATGTCTGCTGATGTTACATTTTTTGAGTCTCAGCCTTACTATACATCTTCTGATCATCCTGATGTCTCTATGGTCTTACCCATACCTCAGGTTTTACCTGTGCCAACCTTTGTGGAATCTACGGTTACTTCTACATCTCCAGTTGTAGTGCCACCACTACTAACTTATCATCGCCGTCCACGTCCAACCCTAGTCCCAGATGATTCATGTCATGCGCCAGACCCTGCTCCTACTGCGGACTTGCCTCCTCCTAGCCAACCGCTTGCACTTCAAAAAGGTATACGATCCACTCGAAATACTAACCCACATTATACCTTCTTAAGTTATCATCGTCTATCATCACCCCATTATGCATTTGTGTCGTCTTTGTCCTCTATTTCCATTCCTAAGACTACAGGTGAAGCACTTTCTCATTCTGGATGGAGGCAGGCTATGGTTGATGAGATGTCTGCTTTACATAAGAGTGGTACTTGGGAGCTTGTCTCCCTTCCTGCAGGTAAATCTACTGTTGGTTGTCGTTGGGTTTATGCAGTCAAAATTGGTCCAGACGGTCAGGTTGATCGACTTAAGGCTCGCCTTGTTGCCAAAGGGTATACTCAGATATTTGGGCTAGATTATAGTGACACTTTCGCTCCTGTGGCTAAAATTGCATCTGTTCGTCTTTTTCTATCTATGGCTGCCGTTCGTCATTGGCCTCTTCATCAGTTGGACATTAAGAATGCTTTTCTGCATGGTGATCTTGAGGAAGAAGTCTATATGGAGCAACCACCTGGTTTTGTTGCTCAGGGGGAGTCTAGTAGCCTTGTATGTCGATTGCGCAGGTCACTCTATGGTCTAAAACAGTCTCCTCGAGCTTGGTTCGGGAAGTTCAGCACAGTAATTCAGGAGTTTGGCATGACTCGTAGTGGAGCTGATCACTCTGTGTTTTATCGGCATTCTGCACCAAGTCGATGTATCTATTTGGTTGTTTACGTTGATGATATTGTTATCACCGGTAATGATCAAGATGGTATCACCGATTTGAAGCAACATCTCTTTAAGCACTTCCAAACTAAAGACCTTGGCAGATTGAAGTATTTTCTAGGTATTGAGGTTGCTCAGTCTAGATCAGGTATTGTTATTTCTCAGCGCAAGTATGCCTTAGACATTCTTGAGGAGACAGGGATGATGGGATGTAGACCTGTTGACACTCCTATGGATCCGAATGTTAAACTTCTTCCAGGACAGGGGGAGCCACTTAGTAATCCTGAAAGGTATAGACGACTTGTTGGAAAGTTGAATTATCTTACAGTGACTAGACCTGACATCTCTTTTCCTGTGAGTGTTGTAAGTCAGTTTATGACTTCCCCTTTTGATAGTCATTGGGAAGCAGTTGTTCGTATTCTGCGATAAATAAAGTCAGCTCCCGGTAAAGGACTACTCTTTGAGGATCAAGGCCATGAGCATATCATTGGATATACAGACGCTGATTGGGCAGGATCACCCTCTGACAGACGTTCGACATCCGGATATTGTGTTTTAGTAGGAGGTAATTTGGTGTCGTGGAAGAGCAAGAAACAGAATGTGGTTGCTCGATCTAGTGCAGAATCAGAATATCGAGCAATGGCGACAGCAACTTGTGAGCTAGTTTGGATCAAACAGTTGCTGGGAGAACTAAAATTTGGCAAAGTTGATAAGATGGAACTTGTGTGTGATAATCAAGCGGCTCTTCATATCGCATCAAATCCAGTGTTTCATGAAAGGACTAAGCACATTGAGATTGACTGTCACTTTGTCAGAGAAAAGATACTCTCGGGAGATATTGTTACGAAATTTGTGAAGTCAAATGATCAGCTTGCAGATATCTTCACCAAGTCCCTCACATGTCCTCGTATTAATTACATCTGTAACAAGCTAGGTACATATGATTTGTATGCACCAGCTTGAGGGGGAGTGTTAGAATAGAAATAAGTATTTCCTACTTAGAATAGAAATAAGAATAGGAATAGGAATAGGAATAAGAATAGGAATCCTAGTTGGAAAAGGATTCCAATGTAGTGTCTATAAATAGGGTCTCAATGTAACTATTTAGATACACAATTCAATAATATTTTTCGTATATATTTCTCACACAATTCCCTCCTCTTCCCCCGTAACCGGAATTACAAGTCCCCACTATTAGTCCTTGACAATCATGCCAATCCATCTTCTCTCTGCTTAACCAAACTCACAAAAACTCCCATCTTTTCATCATCATGGCTTCTTTTACGTTTGAGTCCTTCCCCAGAACATCACCCATAGGCTGTTCAAGGAGGTTTTAGACACGGATCTTACAAATTAAAGTGTTTGATAAGTTGTCCATAAAGAAAAGGAGTTTAAAAGGAATTTTTGTGCAAGTTAGTGGGGGAAGTATTTATTAAGCTCTGCTTGTTCTTGAAAATGTTGATTTGTTCATGCAAAAGTGCAAACTAGGCACTTGCTGTCGGAAAGCTTTTTTGCCACTTTATTTTTTTTCTCTCAAGTGCTTTGAGAATGCCCGAGTTGTTTGATGTATTTGTTTTTAGTATAAGCATTGATATTCGACTGAACCAGCTCTACAATAACTTAGTGATGACTGATATTTAAAATCAACTGGACATTTATTACCTGTTTGCATGTAAGACTAAGTGCAATGCTGTTGATACATTTTTTCTTATTAACTGAAGTTGCCAACTTTGAGATGCAGACTTCTGAAGCTGATTCCTCATTTATATCCAAGTGGTCCATGGATCAGAAGTTGAATCCAGATTTGGCATCTGGTCAAACCATTGGGTCTAGTGGTGTATATGGTGTAGAACATCACAATTCCTTGGAGGCTTCTCAGGTACTTCCTGCGCAGCAAGATAAACACCCAATGCAGAATGAACTTCAATCACAGCTATCAGATGCAAATATTGGAGGCTCTCTAAATGCTGATTTAGATCACAATCTAAGCTTAGGGGTCAAAACCGATTATTCAGCTTTAAAACAACCTTTGTTAGATGGCGTCTTGAAAAGAGAAGGTTTGAAGAAGCTTGATAGCTTTGACCGGTGGATAAGCAAGGAACTTGGAGATGTAAGTGAGTCGCATATGCAATCCAATTCTAGTTCCTACTGGGATAATGTTGGAGATGAAGATGGAGTCGATAATTCCACAATTGCTTCCCAAGTGCATTTAGACACCTATGTGCTAAGTCCTTCACTCGCGCAGGATCAAATCTTTAGCATTATTGATTTCTCACCAAACTGGGCATTTTCTGGGTCAGAAATTAAGGTGAACATTTATGTCTTTCCTGGACATTCTACCTTGTGAGCCAGAGTTCTGATTAAATTTTTTAATGTCTCACTTCTTTTTTTATTGATGATGTACAACTTTCCTCTTAATTAATTTGATGTCTTATTGATGTATGGGTAATAACTCTTTGGTTTTTTCATTAACAGGTCCTCATCACTGGAAGGTTTTTGAAGTCCCAGCAAGAAGTGGAGAACTGTAGTTGGGCATGCATGTTTGGTGAGTTGGAAGTTCCAGCAGAAGTAATAGCTGATGGTGTTCTTCGCTGCCATACTCCGGTTCAAAAGGCTGGAAGAGTTCCATTCTACATAACATGCTCCAATAGGTTGGCGTGTAGTGAGGTAAGAGAATTCGAATTTCGGGTCACTGAAGGCCAAGATGTTGATGTTGCAAATCCAAATAGTTGCAGCTCCAGTGAAAGTCTTCTTCATATGAGATTCGGAAAGTTATTATCTCTGGAATCCTTTGTTTCCCAAACTTCTCCACCTATCAGTGAGGATGATGTTTCCCATATATCCAGTAAAATTAACTCATTGCTAAGAGACGATGACAGTGAATGGGAGGAAATGTTGCACCTTACTAATGAGAACAACTTTATGGCAGAGAAAGTAAAAGACCAGCTCCTACAAAAGCTTCTAAAAGAGAAGTTGCGTGTTTGGCTCCTTCAAAAGGTTGCTGAGGGTGGGAAAGGTCCTAACATACTGGATGAAGGTGGTCAAGGAGTTCTACATTTTGCAGCTGCTCTTGGTTATGACTGGGCTGTACCACCTACTATAGCTGCAGGCGTAAGCGTCAATTTCCGAGATGTGAATGGATGCACTGCACTCCATTGGGCAGCATCATATGGAAGGTATTATGTTAGATTTTGTCTGTCTTTATCATGCAACTTTTTTCTGATTCATTTTCTAATTTTTCTTTTTCATCTCTTTCTGTGGCGTCTTTCTCCAATTTAATTCACACAAACATATTAGAAACTTGAAAGGAGTTGAATACTGGGTGCTCTTAGAATTTTAGTTGTGTTGTGAAGTATTTTTGATAAATAGGGTTGTTGATGAAATTGCTTTCATCTACTATGACTTGTTTACTGATTAGCTCCATTTTTCTTTCTTTTCCTTTTCGCCCATTTGATGTATCTTCGAAATTTGCAACATCAGAGAGCGGACAGTGGGTTTCCTCATCTCCTTAGGTGCAGCTGCTGGAGCATTGACAGATCCTACTCCTAAACATCCTACAGGCAGAACACCTGCTGATCTAGCTTCCAGCAATGGACATAAAGGAATTGCTGGTTACTTAGCAGAGTCTTCCTTGAGCTCCCACCTTTCTTCTCTTGAGTTGAAGGAAAAGAAGCAGGGTGAGAATGAACAAGCTTTTGGGGAAGCTGTTCAAACGGTTTCTGAAAGGACTGCTACACCAGCTTGGGATGGTGATTGGTCACATGGAGTCTCATTGAAGGATTCTCTTGCAGCTGTTCGTAATGCTACTCAAGCAGCTGCTCGTATTCATCAGGTCTTCAGGGTGCAGTCATTCCAGAGGAAGCAGCTAATAGAACACGGTGGCAGTGAATTTGGACTATCAGATGAACGTGCTCTCTCACTTCTCGCCATGAAGACGAATAGGGCTGGCCAGCATGATGAGCCTCACGCTGCTGCTGTCCGTATACAAAATAAATTTCGCAGTTGGAAGGGAAGAAGAGATTTTCTTCTAATCCGCCAACGAATTATTAAAATTCAGGTATTGTATGTGCTTTTGGCCTTATACATGCATAATCCATCTTTTTGCTAAATAATTAGTCAACTCAACGTCTCTACCTTATTTTTTCATTTTCTTAGCCATTCTTCGTTTTTCCTTTTGTTTAAAGGCTCATGTGAGAGGACACCAGGTAAGGAACAAATACAAAAACATAATATGGTCTGTGGGGATCTTAGAGAAGGTAATTTTGCGATGGAGGCGGAAAGGAAGTGGATTGCGTGGATTTAAACCAGAAGCACCTACTGAAGGAAGCAACATGCAAGACCAACCAGTGCAGGAGGATGACTATGATTTCTTAAAACAAGGCAGAAAGCAAACTGAAGAAAGGTTGCAGAAGGCTCTGGAAAGGGTAAAGTCGATGGTTCAATACCCTGAGGCTAGGGACCAGTATAGGAGGCTGCTGAATGTTGTGTCCGACATGCAAGAACCCAATGTAAGCATTGTTCGATTTCTGATGCTAAATGAACTACATATGTTGATCCTGTAGATGCATTTTATCATTTGGTGCAATGGTTCCTTATTCCAAAAATAAAATAATAAATCATAACTTGGCGCTTTTGATAAAGAGACTAGCTATATATGTACTATCTTTTTTCCCCTTTCCAGCTTTTCTTTTATTCTTAGAAGTTAGTTTTAGAGCTTTTCAGCAATAATGAAAATTTGCACTTCTCTTCTTTTGAACTATTTGGTCCATAATGCAGAAGTGAAAATTTCGTTCATACCTCATAAATAATGTATTTTGTATTTTTCTCTTAGCATCCAATCATAAGCAAAACTCAGTAACAATATTAAATCAACTAGTCCTGATTTTCATGATCTGCTCACCTTGAATGAGAGAGAAGCTTTAAAGTTTCGTGAACTGTTGCTTCTTAAAACAATGAGCATGGTCATACCCTTGATGGGGTCATGGTTTTGTAGATGTTTCATGATTTCCCATCAACCAATTCTAATTTATCATCCAGCATTGTCAACCTTCACATGGGTTTACCTGGTAGAATTGGCGTTTCACTGGGTGAGTTTGATACACTTATTCAATACACCAAGTTTCTTTCAGTGTAAAGTTTTGCTATTAGTAGTTGTATCTCTGGCTTGGTTTCTTAAATGTGAGGGGATTTTTGAAAGGAACAACATAACAAGACACCAAATTCACATGTGGTCATGTCTCATTTTGTGTTGCAGAGTACAAATGATGGTGCAGCCAGCTACAACTCAGCGGAAGCAGTTGATTTCAATGATGATTTGATCGATCTTGGTGATCTATTGGATGACGATACTTTTATGCCTACAGCACCTTGAGTTCTGTGTTAATAATATACCATTTGTGGATTAGTATTTGTTATACATGGCTGTTAGGGTTGTTGTATACATAGGCTGCACTAACTAGTTTGTAAATGTGAAAATCAAATCCATTGTGCAGATTGACAAGAATTTGAGATTTAAAGGTAGTAAGATTGTGGTATGTTTGATGTTTTCTTTTCCTTTTACATTGATAGTTTTGTACCATTTACGTTATTTAATTTTGAATCTCAAACCAGGTCTTCTCTCTCTGCCTTCAATTGACAAAGAAATTTTAGGTTCATTGTTAAAGGACTTGTCAATTTGTGTCATTAGTTCTCCCAAAGATTATTTTGGTTAAAAAGTGTTTCAAGAGCCTTTTTGTTTTTCCTTTTTCTTTCTGCAAAAGCTTATAGGAACACCTGGAATTTCACAAAAAATGACTGGTTATTCGATCATAATTTTCAGTACAAATAGTCGGGGAATTCTATCTCTTAACTTGCTTCTGCATCTTCCAAGGTACATCCATTAGTGTTGTTATTCTCGTCTGGTAGCGTGTATTAGCATAATGCATGCATTAGCTTTGTGTATTAGTAGTTTCTTGTTTGGTACATTTTTTCATGCTATGTATAATTAATGCACACTCTATTGTGTATTGAGGAGTTTATTACTAATACCATGAATTTCTAGGTATCCATAATGCATATGCATTAGCATTTGTAAATAAATATTTTTATACAATGCATTTTTAACACCAAACCAAACAATGTATAAAAAGTAATCTATGTATAATTAATGCAAACATAACTAATATAAACATTACTATTTAGCATTATTTTTATACATCCCCCTAAAACTATAATAATAAATTGTCAGCTGGAAAGTATCAATTTAGGGCGTGCACATGAAGAAGGGTGAAAAGTGGTGTTTGCAACAAAAGTAAGACAGTTAAAAATCAAAGAGAAAATGAAAAAAAAGGAAGACATTTTCCATAACATGTACAGACTACAGATACTTTTAATCAGCAAGCTAATTGAAGCCAACAAACAATTCATCTTGTATCAATTTTTGATGAAGAAAGGTGACAAAGCTCTGCACTAAAGGGAGAGCTCCAGAACTAGGAAACATTCTCTACAACTTCTCCTATATAACATGTATTATTACCTACCCTTGTTCAGACAATCGTAAAATAGGACCAGAAATTCTCCTTATGGGTAAAATTGCATACCACTGTCCACGTGGATGTCTCACCAGGAATGACCTTGAGGAATCCCAATCTCATGTTTATTCCACTTTCAAAACTATTTTCATAAATTCGTACACGAAATAGCTTATTGCAGCTGATGGTAAAACCTGAAGAATACAAATTTAAAGAGGGCATGTCAATATCGAGTTCCATATCTTATTAGTGAGTCAAATAACAGAACAAAGAGGCTTGTGCAATAAAAGAGGGTAAAGAAGCTAGGCCACAAAGTTGTATGCACAGTGTTACCAGATGTAAAGAATCAGACAGATAGTAGGCACACACGTATTCTATGTTTCTCAGACTATTCAAAAATACACTGTGTCAGATCCTCCAAATAGTGCATTTAGAGGATTTGACATGGGTTCGTCCAAATTTTTGGAGTTCGAGCAACATATAACTAGTATTTGATACAAAAGACAATAGAGAACGGGCATTAGAATCTAAAGGCAATTTTATAATAGCTCAATGTTTTTTTTTTGTTGATAATCAAGAAATCCTCATGAACCAATGACACAAGGTTCGAAACTCTGGATAACAAACACCCCATCACCCCTTCTCCCATTCTCCACTAAAACACTAGACTTTTGTCTGTGGCAAGGTTTGAACTTGTGACATAGCCCAACTCACAAGTCACACGTTGTGCTCTTACCACTAAACCAAACCCACGGGTAAAAAAATTTAACATTTAAAGTGATACAAGTTCCAATTTCCAATTCTTTATATCTAACTTCCCTCCTGGAAGAGAGCCCTGACAGCCAGAACAACTGGTTACCAGGCAATCATGCAATTAGACCTTGAGGTATTGCAAGCAGACGTAGTTGTTGAAATCCCAATAAAGTGAATGTACACTAGCATGGTAGTCGCTTGATAAATTTATCTAAACTTTTAACAAATCTACCTACCTAGTTAATGGTACAATGAATTCGGATACATCATATCACAGGATGTGTATGCTCATTTTCCACAACAGAAAAATTGTTGTACTTTATTAACTAATCTTCAAGGGCTGTTACAGAGAGACAGTTCTGAGTTCTAAATACCTTTCCTGTATGAAGGGAACTACAGTCAAGAAAATGCTTCGTTAACTTACCTGTAATAAGCTGGGAGTCAATCCAGTATAGAGCGCAGGGATACCACCTTGCTCAACGATCTTTAGGGTAGTTGCCAATGTACTCATCTTAGTGGCCCGGACCTGCAATTGAAGCTGTCTCCTCACAACTTCAAAAGGATATGTAGCAGCTTCTGCACAAGCACCAGCAATTGCCCCATATACCAAAGTTCTAACTGTGCCCAACTCCAGTTGATCCAGGGCATTCAGGTCTTCACCTTGTTTCATATTTTCTAGTCTTTTCCTCCCTTCAGGTGAATGCAAATACGCTGATTTTAATATATCATAAACTCCATAGAAAACTGCACCTGAAGGTGCCATGCTCATGATCGAGGGTACTAGGCCCTTGTAAAGAGAGAAAAACCCCTCCGTCTGAATCATATGCCGGGATGTACCAATTAAGCCGCCCAAGGCTTCTCCCCCAGGTGCAACCATTACTGTCCTAATCTGAAAGATTGACATTTTCCAGGAAGAAAGATGAGAAACATTTTATGATCATTAAGAAAATGGTAAAGCTTGAAATATTTTGTCAATGTATGAAAAGGAAAAGCAAAAAACTGCACGAATCAGTAAGAAAAACAAAAAGTACACTACAGACTTGAAAAAAAGACAAAGGTAGAAGAACATTTACAGAAAATGAAATGACTGAATTATCCTATTCCTTAAGAATGTTGTACAGTAATTCAATCAATTGATTTAATATTTCTATCAGGAATTGAACCATATTTTGCACTTCACACAAATAATTATAAGAAAATGATTCAGCCAATCATGCATAGCATTGAAATTAGGTAGAGCTTTTAATCACATTTTCTAACTTCATTACTTACCATATCTCATCCAAATCAATGATGTATCTGAAGCTTCAGTGAGCATCAAAATCAACTTGAATTGTTCCTGATGTCATCCCAAGTCAATTATCTAGAATAATTTCCTGGGCTTGGAAAATAAAATTTAATCTAGTTTTTTTTCCCTTCTAATATCATAGACATGACTCGTCTAACTAAATGAGTGCATCAAATTCAGAATAGTTGGGACAGCTCAGCTGGTGGAACAGGAAACCAATATTCCTTGTCTCAGCAGCTTAAACTACTATCATATCAACAATAATAGAAGATCGTTATGTTAACAACAAGCTCAAGTAAGTTCCAAGCATAAATTATCGACAATTTTCAACTCAAGAATAGGCTAACAATCAAAACCAATACGTGGTTCATTTCAACATAGTTACACATATAATAAGCTATGTCTAGCAAACTTTTCCAGGGCTTGGAAAATAGCATTTAATCTAGTTTGTTTTCCCTTTTAATATGATAGACATGACTCGTCTTACTAAATCAGTGCATCAAATTCAGAATGGTTGGGACAGCTCAGCTGGTGGAGCAGGAAACCAATATCCCTTGTCTCAGCAGCTTAAACTACTATCATATCAACAATAATAGAAGATCGTTATGTTAACAACAAGCTCAAGTAAGTTCCAAGCATAAATTGTCGACTAGGCTAACCATCAAAACCAATACGTGGTTCATTCTAACCAGATGGTGCCGCTTGAAGAAATTAAGTGTCAACCTAAGCATTCCCGATAATGTTGTTTATCTTGGAAGTACTAATGCTAAATTAAAGAGGGTTTATACATTTAAAAGTAGTAGAACAATCATCCAAAGTCTTGAATCTAAGCTATCCAAGAGCTAGTTGCACCCCTGGGGCATACATATAACAAGGATAGCAGAAGTAAGTTTTCTCTGTAGTGTCAACTTGATAGCTTCCACTTATACCTGTCCATTCCCTTTCCTAGCATTATCATACAAAGATATGTAACCAACTTAGCCAAGAACTGACATACTTACTGCAAGGGATCAAGAAAACAAAACAGAAAACCCTGAAGTATCTATCACTCACAGTGTCCATAGGTATGCAGAGCACAGTAGCTGTAATTCCTGCAGCTGCACCAGCAACAAACCTTTCAATATTAGTTGCCTCCTCATTACCAGTTATTTTGAGCAGATGATCTCTGTATTTTTCATAAGAGTAGAAGTGGATAGCCTTAAATGGAGCTGTTCGTAGAATATTCACAAAATTCCCCTTCCAAAATCCCTTGATCCCTTGAGTAACTGCAATTGTCTTGATGAGCTCAAAAAGATTCTTTTGTTCACCACGAACTATATATTCCAGCTTTAGTCTCTCCAGTGGGGCAACAAAAGTTCTGAAACAATGGCAGTTCAGCTACTAATACATAGACTAAGGCCAAAAAATAAATGAAGAACAAAGAAATTGCAGATCACATATACGGTTCCATTTCAATGCTACAAGAGTAACAAAGTTCCAACATAAGAAATATTAGGATTTTTATATTGTTTTAGTCAGTGGAACAACCCAGAACTCACGAGCAGCATTTGATGTGTAAAAGATATTCTCATCCCAAAATACATAAAAATTGTTCTGGATCAGGCATGGACATGTAAAGATCCCTTTTCAACAACGGGGTAGAACAACCATGCCTAACTAGAATTGGAAGATGCAGACCTCGATTTCAACTTCTGTGGTTAAATTCTACTTAGAAATAGGTGATAATCTTATTCTCCATAATAGACTAATAACAGATGATACTTTTAATTTAAACCTTCCTAATCTGGGGCACTTGGTGCTTCTAAGCAGGATAGATTTCTTACTTTCTGTATGAACCATTGACATACAACAAAATGATTTCCTCAAAGGAAAAAAAGAAAAAGAAAAAAAGAGTCAAACTATAAGAGAGAATAAGTATCCTTTTCTTGATGCAAAATAGACACGACACTGGAGAAGCCACCAGTATTAACCATGGAAAAGGGTCCCACATATTCATGTATAGCGAAGGGTTAGCCCATTATCAAATCAATTTTAGTTTGCCACTTCTCACACTGCTATTGTTTACTACTAGTTAATGCTCCTACATGAGGTAACATTGCCTCTCATACCAAATGTATTACTCAGCAAAGAAAACATTCAACTAGTATTTTCATACCTATGCATAAACATTCCTCAACCATGTCGAACAACTTCAAAATTTCAGAATCTTACATCTATACTTTTTTCATCTTAAATCAAGTGCCTTGATATCCCAATAATATAGAGCAAACTACTGAGTGTGTATTTCATGGTATAATTTTTTTTTTTGGCAACCAATGTGACTATTACCATTAACAAAAACACCACATACAGAATAGTCTCATCCAACCCTCACCACCCTTACTAATGAAGGAGTAGTAAAGGCTGGCTTCAACAAAATAACAAACTAATTACATAACTTTTGCCAAAAACTTCTACATCTATTTGCTTTCTTTGTATACTTATACATCTCTATCCTCTCCACAATTTCACGGATGATTGTACTCACTATCTCTGTATGTTGTATCTGTACTTTCTTAAACTGTTTCCAATTTCTTGCTTTCCATATGTGATATACCATTGCTCCGAAAACAGCAGCTATCACTTGTTTTTTAAACCTCCTCCAATGTTTCAATTTGATCAGCTCCAGTGTAGTCTTCAAATCTCTTGCCGGTACTGAAATTTTTGACCATTGTACTAATGCATCTCTCACTTTGACAGCATACTCACATTCCACAAACAAGTGACTGTTTGTCTCTAACACTGCAGCTTGACACAAGCAACATTTCATGTCATCTACCTGAATGTTCATACTCAACAGTCCGTCCTTTGTAAGCAATTTATTTTGCATTGCTTGCCACATAATAAACCTGTCTTGGTAGTGATACAGAGTTCCACACTAATTCTGCTACCTCCAGCTTTGCTTGGTTCCCTATCAGATCAATATAACCACTTGTAATGGAGTATTGCCTATTCACAGTAAGGTTGAATTTTCCTCGCATATAGTGCTTCATTTTGTGCTTCAGAGAGTTTATTTTCCTCCAGTACCAACTACTATCTACTCGTGCTTTATGGTCCCAAAATGTCTCTGATTTGATGTAGATCCCATGTACCCATTTTACCCACAGTGACTCTTTATTCACAGCCAGTTGCCATATTAATTTGCCTACAGCAGCCACATTCCAATTCCCACATACCTTTGATGTTCAAACCACCTTGCCTCTTAGGAAAACACAACTTTTCCCAAGATACCAATGATATTTTCCTTTTTCCTTCACTGCCACCCCACATCATTCTCTACATTTCGTATCGACCTCCTTAACAAACAGATCAATATAGCCACTTGTAATGGAGTATTGCCCATTCACAGTAAGGTTGAATTTTCCTTGCGTATACCAGTGCTTCAGAGAGTTTATTTTCCTCCAGTACCAACTACTATCTACTGGTGCTTTATGGTCCCAAAATGTCTCTGATTTGATGTAGATCCCATGGTATAAATATTACTCACTTTGTTTCAATTTGTTTGTCTTAGTTTGACTTGGCATTGAGTTTTAAGAAAGTAAGAAGACTTTTGAAACTAGTGGTATTAAACATATGTATAATGTACAAAAATGTCTTTAATTTTCTAGTCTTAAACATGCCATGTGGCATGTTGAAATTAAAAAGTTTCCAAATTAGGAACGAGATTTTCTTTTAGCAAACTAAAAAGGAAATTAAGACAACCAAATTGAAACAGAGGGAGTAGCTATACGTCATTCCAACTCAAATGACACAAAATCGCCATCACTAAACCAAAGCAAGTTGAACCTATTGGTCCAAACTCCTAAGCATCCGACCTTTCGTCCTGATTTTGAATCAAGAAAGACGGGATCTAAAGGCACACAATTCTATGAATACTTAAAAATACATTTCTCTGTATAGAGGAGAATGGACATAGAGGATGCAAAAGGCTGACCCCCAATGAATTCGGGATTGAGGTCTAGTTGGTTGATTAGATGATACTAGCTTTTTTTGTGCCTTGAAACTGTACATTACCACAAAAAGACATTTAAAATTGTTCCATTGACAAACAAGAGCAACAGTTTTTTGGGGAAATCCACTATTTCCAGTTTCGAAATTCAATTGATAAAGGGCTTGCACTCCATGCGCCTCTACCCTTCTGCACTGACATACCATACTTGGTTCACCAGCGAGGATTCTAACCCGGTGAATGTGGGCATACTGTACATCCAGCACGATGTCTCCTTTGCCATAACCCTAAGGACAACAACAATACTACCCCTTTGTTGCAATTTGTTTGACCGGTTTCCTTTTAAATCTACTTAGGAAAAGAATGTCACTTCAATATTTAATAACTCTTTACCCAACATCATATTCCTATATATCATATTTAACAACACAAGATTCAAATGACATTTTGGTATATTACACACTTCGTTAGTTATTTGTGCCGAATCAAACTAATTCAAGCAAATCGAAACATAGGGGAGTAAGATTTTATGGAATGCATAAGAATGAAAAAGAACATTCCTCTTTACCTTGACACCATGGCAGCAACAGCTCCAGACCAAAGATGCTTAGTAGTATTCAATGCACCTCCAGCTCCAGCTCCACCATGCAGCTTCCCTTTCTTTACTTTTTCAACTTCCTTACACACATCACTCTCCGCCACAGCAGCTTCCCCATTCTGCTCCAAAATCTCATTAGAATCTGAAAGTGTCACCGACAAAAACCGTCCCCTTCCTCTCCGGCTACTCCTCCGTGCACGTAACATACACTTGGAAGGAAAACAATTTTCCATAGAAATTAACGAAACGAAGGATTCTCTGGCCGAATCCTCGAGGAGTAATCCTCCATTGTTACCATCAAAACCAATCGAATTCAGACACAAATCACTACTTCTCAAACTCAAACACCGAACCCCATTTGATTTTGACTCTGATTGAATCAAACCCTTCAAACGAATCTCTAAATCACCCATTTTTATTCAAAAAAATATCAAAAATTCACTGATTAATGCTTCATTTTTTGTGGAGTGAACTGCAATTTTCTCACCGAGTTATGTAGAAGAAAATGGGATTTGAAAGAGAAGAGAAAATGTAATAAATATAAAGAATGGTTTGCTTCCATCGCCGCGCGCATTTTTCTTCGCTCTCTTTCCATGCTGTGTGGTTTTCGGGCCTTTTTTTCATTTTCATGTAATGTGTACTTTGGTGTCACGTGGTTCAAATATTATTCTTTGTCTTAATCCGTTTAAAATTTTATGAACTAGATCGAAAATATTCCATAGACAATAATGTTTAGAAGTATATTTATCGTATGTAGTTATATTTAGATAATTACCATATTATAAGATTTAAAAAAAAATGACTTATGATGTATCAGTTCATGACGTGATTATATTTGTGATACAAATGAGTGAAAAAATTAAAAATTTCGATAAATTCTTTTAAAAAACAAAACACGTAAAACATGAGAGAAAATAATGCAATCCCCATAATTATGCTCGTGTGTATCTTCAATTCAAAATAGAACATGCAATTGAATATTGTCTTCTTCTTTTTTTCAAGAGAAATTCAAACACTGATCGACATGAATTTTTTTTTTATAAAAAATAGTCGAACTCTACATCTGACAATACATTGATATATATAAATTATTTGATTGATTCAACTTGGCAGGAAATTTGAGAATTCTAATTATACGTATTAGAATTTGATTACTCTAGTATTTTAATACTTCATTTGCAATGTCATATATTCAGAATGCCAAATATTATGGTATTGATTTTGTTATTATGAGCCGTGGAATATTGAGAATGTTTTATCGATTACATTGTAAATGATATCATTATCAAAAATTAGGTTTTATATGAATACCTTGTTATTGCAATAATTATGAAGCAATTAGAAATCAAGAATACTTGTAAAAGTATACAAAAACAAATACACCATGGAAGATAATTCTAGAATTAAGAAAGAAATGTAATGATATGATCATGACATTGTACGTTAAGTAGAAGAAACAAAATATGTGCTTATGTATCCTAATTCGTTTATTAGAATGCACAAGTTCCCTCAAAATGAGTTCATGTATATATTTTATATTGCTAATAGTATTTATTTGAAGTTTCAATTACTGTAGATTCATCGTAATTATATATGACATACATCCAAAATCAACACATAAGAAAACATTTTTCAATGGGCATATTATGACGGTGAAGGTAAAAAAATCCAATATATACCACTAAAAATGAAAAGTAATACACAAATATATATACTCGAAAATGTAATTTTCACAACTTTTTTGATAAAACTTTTCACAACTTTAGAAAACTTTTTTTATGAAATGTTAATAATCGACAAGATGAAATATTCTTGTATTACGGTATGTTTATATTATGTTTTCAATTTATATATTGATAAAGTTGGATTACTGTTAATCTATATTTGAGTATTTCAAATACAATATATAGTCAAACCTCTTTATAATGATAATATTTTATCTGTTATGAAATAAAATAATAAAATAAAAAGAAGAAAGGTAGAGACATGAGCAGTAGTAGAAAGAAGTGGAGTAATTTTCCTTTTCTATGTCATCTTCTTATTGTTGTGTAACTACCCCTTTTATAGGGATAAAGTTACTTGGAGAGGTTGGCCTCCTACAGTAACAAATATATATTATTTACAATATGACCCATAAAAATACACTATTTATAACACTTTCCCTTGAATGTTTATGTACAAAGGAAAAAAGAAATGCCCATAGTTATTTATAATACAAATTATTTGCTGCCTCATTAAAAACCTTATCAGAAAATTCAATGGGATAAAATCTTGGTTAAGGAAAAAAGAGTGCAGCGCGTATTTACTCCCCCTTATGATGATGTCACTTAATGTCTCGAAGATAACACATTCCAATCCTATGTCTCAGCTTCTCAAAGGTTGAAGTTGGTAATGCCTTGGTAAATATATCTGCTAAATTATCATTGGAACGAACTTGTTGAACATCTATTTCACCCTTCTTTTATAGATCATGAGTAAAAACGAATTTTGGTGAAATATGTTTTGTTCTATCTCCTTTGATGTATCCTCCTCTTAGTTGAGCTATACATGCAACATTGTCTTCAAATAATGTTGTTGGGATGTCTCCTTTTAAGGGAAGACCACATGTTTCTTGGATGTGCCGAGTTATTGATCTCAACCACACGCATTCTCGACTTGCTTCATGAATGGCTATTGTCTCTGCATGGTTTGAAGAAGTAGCAATCATAGTTTGTTTTGTTGAACGCCATGATATAGTTGTACCTCCATATGTAAATAAATAACTTGTCTGAGATCGACCTTTATGTGGGTCAGACAAATATCTTGCATCTGCATAGCCAATTGATTGTGAATTAGACTCTTTTGAATAAAATAGTCCTTGAAGGTATCTAAATATATGTTTAATACCATTCCAATGCCTTCATGTTGGGGAAGAACTAAATCTTGCTAATAAATTTACAGAAAAAGATATATCTGGTCGAGAATTACTAGCAAGGTACGTCAATGCACCAATTGCACTAAGATATGGTATTTTAGAACTAACAAGTTCTTCGTCATTTTCACGAGGTCGAAATGGATCTTTATTAATATCAAGTGATCTCACAATCATTGGGGTACTTAGTGAATGTGTTTTATCCATGCAAAATCTCTTTAAAATATTCTTAGTATATGTTGATTGATGAATAAATGCTCCATTTGTAAAATGTTCAATATGTAGATCAAGACAAAATTTTGTTTTTCCAAGGTCTTTCATTTCAAATTTCCCTTTCAAACATTCTACTGCTTTTGAAAGCTCTTCGCGAGTTCCACTGATATTCAAGTCATCAACATATACAACTATAATGATAAATTCAGATCCAGACCTTTTAATAAATACACAAGGACAAATTAGGTCATTCTCATACCCAGTGACGGAGCCATGATTTTCGTGGAGGGGGTTCAACTTATAAGAAGTAAATAAGAAAATGGAGCAAAACGGATCGGGAAATTAAAAAATTATCCTCAATCCATTAAATATAACTTGCCTTGTCATGCCACATTTAGCGTTTCTTCCTACTTTTACTATGCTTCATTGATTCTTTTTTTTAAATGATTTTTTTCTTTAATTTTTTATTATTTTACTTTATTTGGAAATTTTAAAATAAATTAAATTAGTGTTCATTCAATCATATGTTACTTTAAAAATTGTTTAATACTCTTTAAAATGTGTAGGGATTGAGTTACTAATATTATAATGCATATTAAAAGAATAAATAAATGGCATCGCCAATTTTTTGTTCATTTATTCAATTTATAAGGTTTTCCATCGGTAAAAAAAATTAATAAATCATATCAATGTAGTTTACGTCTCTCTAGAATAGAACTGGAAAAATGAGAAAGAAATATGATGAATAATCATGTCTTTCAAATTTATTCGTTCGATTAAGTTTAACTTATCTTTAATGTTTTTTTTCTCTATCTCAATTTCAAGTTTAAGAATAATTGACAGTTTTTTAAAAAGTTCCTTTGAATTAGTATATAAAAAGAGAGTTACGTAAAAATAAAATGAGCAATGGAGACAAAAATAATAAAATTCAAAAATGAAAATAAATGTGCCTTAGAAATTCGAAAAAATGAGAAATAACATTAAAAAAATAAAATAAAAAATAAAAAAACAATAAAGCTCCAGCCCAAAAATATTGAGCCCATCTCAGCCTTGCTATTTGATTTTTCAAATGAAGAAAACAAGAAAAATTTTAGGAAAGTGTTGTTGCGCAAAATCAAATCCATGACGTCCAAGCGAATTCTTGAACCCCCTTTACCACTGAGCTAGCCTCTTTACATGTGTTTAGGGGGTTCATTTTAATATATACACACATAAAAACAGAATTTGACCTTATATATACCGTGTAATTTTTTAACGAGGGGGGTCGGGTGACCCTTCTAATCTCCATGTAGATCCCCCCTGCTCATACCCTTTCTTTAATAGATATTCACTAAGGCGATTATACCACATGCGTCCTGATTGTTTCAATATGTATAAAGTTTTTTGAAGTTTTATTGAACAACTTTTCTGGGAATTTTATATATTTCAGGCATTTTTAATCCATCAGGAATTTTCATAAAATTATCGTTGTCTAGTGAGCCATATAAATAGGATGTAACGACATCCATCAGATGCATGTCAAGTTTTTCATGAACTGCCAGATTTATAACATACCTGAAAGTGTTGCATCCACCACTGAAAGATATGTCTTCATATAATCAATACCAGGTCTTTGCGAAAATCATGCCACAAGTCATGCTTTATATCTTACGACTTCATTTTTCTCATTTCGTTTTCGCACAAAGACCCATTTGTACCCCACTGGATTTGTACCTTCAGGTGTTCGAACTATCGATCCGAAAACTTCACATTTTTCAGGCGAAGTTAATTCAACTTGAATTGCATCTTTTCATTTTGGCCAATCATTTCTCTGTCCACATTCCTCGACAGATTTTGGTTCAAGATACTCATTTTGTTGCATTATTTCTATAGCAACATTATAAGCAAAAATATTGTCGACAATTATATTATTTTGGTTCCATATTTTTCTTGATGAGACATAGTTTATTGAGATTTCTTCATTATTTTCAGGCGCCTGAACCTCTTCCAAGGTTTCGTCAATTATTATGTCTCCTTGCTCTTCTTGAGCAGGTTCTTTCATATTATGATCATCTTGATTGTTAGCTCCTTTTATTTTTCGAGGATTTTTATCTTTGGAACCAATTAGTCTATCACTTTTTAAGCGTGGTTTAGATTTATTTGTATTAATTAATTGTCCTATCGGGATGTCAACTCGAATTGGAGCATTATCAGCTGGAATATGAGATTTAGTAACTCTTGATAGGGCAGTGAATGCATCTGGCAGTTGATTTGTAATATTTTGCAAATGAATTGTCTTTTGAACCTATT